AAAGTTAGCCGGGCATGGTGACACATGCCTATAATCCCAGCTCCTTGGGAGGCTGAGGCAGGACTATCGCTTGAACCCAGGAGGTGGAGGTTGCAGTGAGCTGAGATTTTGCCATTGCACTCTAGCCTAGGCAACAAGAGTGAAACTCTGTCTCCAAAAAAAAAAAAAAAAAATTAGCTGGGCATGGTGGCATGCACCTGTAATCCCAGCTATTCAGGAGGCTGAGACAAGAGAATTGCTTGAACCTGGGAGGCGAAGGTTGCAATGAGTCTAGCCTGGGGGGCAGAGACTCTGTCTCCAAAAAAGCTTTAAAAAAGGAAAAAACTGTAGTAAAAGCTTTCATTTTCTCTGGCATAAGTTATTCTATTTGGGTTTTTAAAAAAGTATGTTTCCCATTTCCCGTATTTGTTCCTGTCAATACTTGCTTTTAATCAATGGATTTCCTCTCCCCTCTGCTTCTTTCACATTCTCCACCAGTCAGACACAGTCTTCTGCACCGTGGATGGGACCAAATTATGGAGTGCAACCGCCTCAAGGGCAAAATGGCAGCATGTTGCCTAATCAGCCTTCCGGGTATCAAGTGGCAGGGTATGAAACCCAGTGAAAAAGGACTCCAGAATCTAAAGCCAGTGGCTTGAGGCTACAGGGAGTGTAGTAAAGCCGTTGTTTACTTAAAGATTTATCAAATCAGTCAGTGCAAATGTCAGATACAATGTATTTATTTAAAAGATTCATTTTTAATCATGAAATTCCTTATCATCCACATTGTTTTAAAAAGAAACAAGATGCTGGATGTCTGCCAATTTTTGCCTTCATTACCTTTTTTGATAAAGTTTCTCAGATCCTTGTTTCAAACACAAATGCAGGGATTGCTGCCACTTTTTAAATATTAAGAGGCAGAAAATTGCACAATATTGAACTTTTTTCCACTAAAGTAGTGTGCAGTTCTAGTTTGCATTCCTGATATGATTTAAAACATGTAATATAAAGACGCTAAAAAAAAAAAAAAAAAAAACCCAAAACTGTGCAGAGTCTAGAAGTTCTTTGTAATCTTCAGCTTATGCACAATTCTGTTTTAGGTTTTAAAAAAAAAAAAAAAAAAAAGGCATTGTTTGAGCTGTCCCATCTCCACTGTTATACTTTTGGGGTTTTTTAATATAAATTATTAGTTTACATCATTTTTGTATCTACATCTTTTTCACAAATTTGTCTTGCCTTATTAAAGTTCTGTAAAGTATACTTAAATGAGAAAATGATGTTCATTTAGATTGAAAACTTTTCTCAGATGGATTGATAATTGCATTCATCTTGTGTTTTATATAAGAAGGTGCCTCAAGAATTCTCTGTTGGATTTGTTTAAAAGGATTTTTATCTTCTGTGATAAACTTTGCTGTGTACCAGGAACTATAAAAACAAAAACTTGTTACTAAAGAAAATATCTGAAATGTGATAAGTTCTTATGCCATGTTAATTTCATGTGTCAACTTCAACATTTACATGTATTATTTCATTATGTAAAATGTTTTAGCAATTTAATATTTTGCACAGTTAGCAAACTTTGTATGTCATTTCCTTCAAGGCATTATGCAGAGTTGACATGAGATTTATAAGGTTTTAAGTTGTTTGCATGTGAAAATCAAATACATACTTTGGTAGTCTTTGAATACAAAGTCATCTGCTCTTGTTTTTCAAGAATTTTGAGATACAGGCCGGGCGCGGTGGCTCAAGCCTGTAATCCCAGCACTTTGGGAGGCCGAGGCGGGTGGATCACAAGGTCAAGAGATCGAGACCATCCTGGTCAACATGGTGAAACCCC